CTACCTGTTCTCCAAGAACAGTGCATGAATTTTATACTGAAAATCATTGGATAAGATATAGAAATAAACCCTATATCAGGGACCAGAACCCATGTCTCCCCAGTCTTAGCTGTGTGCCTACTTAGTTACTACACAACAGACTTGGTTTTCCTTTTGCTTCCTTCTGACATCATAAATCTTGCTTTCCTTTCTACACAATATCCCAGCCCTATCAGAAAGCAGCCTCCTCAATACCAGTTTAACCTACAGCGTGATGGCTAGGGCACTTGAGTGAAAAATATGGATTCGGAACCCTTAAAAGGCTCTAAACCCATTCACTTTCTAGGTAAGCGCTCTAACCACTGGATTATTATATAGAAGATAGGCAGTGCCACAGTTGTAAATGCAAAACAGCTGCAACCACATTTTGTAAGGATCCAGAATATGCCTACCTAACTGAGGCCCTCGGAGTGCTTGGGGGCCACTTTGCCTACTTCTTGAATCTCAGTAACGCTTAGCTGGACGTTGATACATAGCCACTCGGGCTTGGGCTGTACTGGGCATGGTCATGTTGCTAGGAAATTTTCTAATAAAGGGTGAATTAGGTCTTTTAGGGTCAGGGGCAGGGTTAGGGTTAGGCAGCCAATGATTACAATGTTTATGAATCACCATTTTGGATTTGAATGGACTTTAGATGGCTAAGTCCTTTTTTTTAGGCATCTAAGTTGTTTTTTATCCCATGATCTTAGGACATAACTCCCCAGTTCTCCACTACTTCAGCGTTATGTAACTCTGTGCAGGATTGGCTCCTCAGTCTCACCATTCCTGAACTGTAAAAAAATGAAATAATTAGAACTAACCTGAATATAACCTATGTAAAATAGCTAAAATAACCTCCACAAACAAGTTTCTGGTAGCACATTTTAACCTGCATATACTAAAAGGACATATTATAGCCTATCATCATTTGTCAGTAAAACATTTCAAGTGACTAGAAAAACACTGTAATAATACAAGGATTAAAAGGGCCTGCAACAGCCTGATGAAATAATATATAGCTGAACATTACTTTATTTTTAATATGTTTATGGGTCACAGTTTACAAAATATTTCAGTCAGGAGAGAGGTTATTCATAGAAGTGCAACAGTGTACTTGAAGCTATATTTGTTGAATGCCTAAAGCTCGTGACAGTTTTCCTAAATGGCAAGTTTTTGATTTGAAGTTGCAAAACAGTGGTTCATTAACTCCAAACAGGATATTATCACAGTAAACTAAGCACTGTAATTGGGCATTTTTTCCTGCAGTTTGGGAGAGATTTGTATTAGCTACAGCAGCTGAGAATGGAATAGTTTTCAACCAGATGTGTATTAGCATGTCTCCCAGTAGCATAATTTGGTTGGTATTCTAGTCTGTTGAGAACATGGTGTTGGACTAGTTGAGGAATTATAGAAGGCAGAAATCAGTCGATGGTAAAAGGTTAAGTGAACATTTAAATTTAAGGTACCACTGAATATTTAAAAACAGCAAAACAACAACAAAACTCCAAAACTTAATGCTATACAGTAATTTAATCTTAATAACCCCCCAAAACTAAGGCTATGCAATGCTTAGTGTTAATGATGAGCACAAAATTGCTACGTCTCAATGAAATCAAAGCATATTAAAATTGTTTTGTTACTGGATTAGGGCCTGTGCCAAAGTAACTGTAATCTTTTAAGCAAGAAGGATAATTGGGAACTTACAGGGATGTCAGTATTGTATCTCAGTTGTGATTCCAATCAGAGTGTAAGTGTATGTGTCCATGGCTCAATCCAGCAGGATGTAGGGATACCAGAGCTCCAGAAGTGTGTGGTGATCTTGCAGGCGAGTGCAGTGATCCATTAACATAGTTTTACTTGTTCTAGGACCTGAGCTAGTATTTCTGCACAGATCTTCATTGTACTGTATAGATATATGAGCTCACTGAGTACTAGCTCGCATATCTAGAATGTGCTCCATTTGTTGTAAGGACATACCATAAAAGACCATTTAAACCCCATTTGCCCATGACATGATACACGTTTCTTAGTTCTACATTAACAAGCGGAAATACAAAGTCCAGGGAAGATAAGTAGAAAAAAGATTGGACTTATTCATATACTGTACTATAGTCAGGCATTTTCTCTGCTTTATCTAATTACGATAATCTGCTTGTAAAATCAGCAGTAGTATGGGTTCCAAATGACCTACTGTATTAGATTTTACTAGCAGAAGGAGGCAGCTGAGGGACAGCTATTTGTTTTTGGTTTTTTTAAATATTGAATAACTGCCTGAACCATTACATGTATGATATTTAACCACGGTATTAATAGAAGTACATTAGCAAGGTAACATTATTTTCTTATATTATGTACTTATATGACTCTCATTACTATAGCACCTGATTACTGCACAGTCTTTAATGCATTTATCCTCACAGAACCCCACCCAATGAGAGACTTTTTATTCTGATTTCAGAAACAGAAATAAGTTAGTTGCCCAAGGTCACACTGGAAATTGTGACAAAACAAGGACTTGAATGCAGCTCTCACAAGTCCAAGACTTACACCAGAACCATAGGACAATCCTTCCTGTCTCCAAGAGGCCATGTTTCATGGATTTGCCAGGCCAGGGAAATATTTGGTAAAACCTCTAGTCTGGATCAACTTAGATATGCCTGTATACCTCTTACATTTACACTGCTCATCTGTGTCCAGAAGCTAGCCCTACCTTCCATAGTATCAGTCAATACCCCAGACTATCACTTAAGATAGACATATTATTGTCCTGAGAATGGGAAGGAAGGCTAATTTTTCTCATTGGTTTTAGAGGGAGAAAGAAGAAAAATAGCTGCCTGTCTACATTAGGGAAGTGACATGGTTACTGTGGCCTGTGGTTTGTGACTCAGCTCTCAACCCTCAAAGAGAACTAATGGAGCTCACAACAACTGGTTAATATCCTAGCTCCCTGAATAGACTTTGAGTCAAGCTGCTCGTTTTGTTTAGGAGGAAAAACAATTAAATTGCATTTCAGTGAGTTTGTTTTTATTTTTAATTTTTACTTCTACTGGTTAATGTGCAGAAGATGGAACAACAGAACAATCCATCCTAAACTTGTAAAATTAATTAACATTTGAAAAACTCTGTAAGATCCTTGAATGAAAGGTGAAAGCATTATCATCACAAAACAGAATAACCTTAAAAATGAGCTTCTTGAAGCAAAACAACATGAAAAAGGGACTAATTAGATGATTCAACACAATTTCATATTCAGTCAAGAGAAATGTTAATATCACTTATGCATCTTTATATGTCTATGCAATATAGTAATCAGGATTGATGTCAGGCAGGACAGTCATGATACTGAGGTCAGTTGTTTAAGCATGTGAATGAGAGGTACCTCTGATAGTGGTTCTTTGCTTTTGCACTGCTCTGTATCCAACTAAGTACAGCAGCAACAGGAAGTTGAGACACTAAGCTGTGCAATCAGCTGTTATAGCTGTAGTGGACAGGAGGCTCCAGGCAGTGTGAAAAGAACCAAAGGCTATGAGCAGACTCTGACTGTGGTGCACCCAGGCCAGGAGGCAAAACATAGGGCAGATAGGAAATGGTGAAAAATGACGGCATAGGGGCCACAAATGAGGCAATCAGTGGCAAAGATGAAGGAAGTGAAAGAGAGAAGAACCAGAAAGTAAAGAGACTAGATTAAAACAAAAGGAAGGCAAAAAGAGGGCAAAGAGAAAGAGTGGGAAACATTGACTAGGAGAAGTGAGGCAATGGGATCAGTGTAATAGAAGAAAGAGAAAAATACTAAGTAGGAATGGACCTAGTAAGAGGGTGAGTTCCTCTCACTTGGGGTATGCTACAAGGGATAGTATATTGCACCCACTTCTTACCCAGTCTCCCAGACAACATAAATATTGTCTGTGATACTAACAATAGACCTGCTCATACTGAAAAGCATGGACATAACATATGGCTTGGAGTAATATAGATACTCCAGTTGCCTTATGAATGGCATAGCAGACAAAACTCTTTTTTTAAAAACTGTCTTATTCTGACTGGGAAAGATTAATTTGACTTTCTGGGTTAGGAAGAAAACACCTGGCAGGGAGCCTGCTGTAGTTGTAGCAGAACATCACCCTTTTGGTAATGTTTGTTGGTGACTTATGCAGGCCACAATCTGCTTTTTCTTACTTGAAACAATAATCCAGTTCTCTCAGTTTCCAAATTTTCTCCACATGTCTTACTGCTCTCTACTCATATCAAATGTGTGTAGTCACCATTAGCTGTAAAGATCATAAGACATGGCATAGGTCCTTTTAACTCATTACTCTGTCTCTAACCATGGCTAGTAGTAGATGCTATACAGGAATGGCATAAGAAATAGGGCATGAGTAGAAATCTCTGACTCTTGCCATACCTTTTCAGTTACCAACTGCAATGTTTAGGGATGTCTAAGGTCTGAGGTTAAACCCAAATGTTGGGTTTATAGCCCCTACTGGACTATCAAAGCATAAACTGATGCTTCATATAAGGTCCCCTAATCTAAGGCAGCTGTTAGAGACCATTTTAGGCACCAGGATATCTTATCCTCCATCATTTCTTTCATGTAGAGTCCAACAAATGAAAGAGTCATAGTGGTCCTGGCTTTCAAGCAGAGGGATACTTTAAAGGACAAAGTGTTTACCTAATAGGAAAATTCCTAGCAAACAATAAAAATTGTTGTGAAACAGTGACTCTTTTGGATGTATGATTTAATTAATAAGCCTAATTTACATTTGTATCATTTGCCATAAGCATACCTCGTATGTTCCAAGAAGAGGGCCTTTTTTTAACTAAATTTCATAGCTTTATACGCATCTTATCCTCCATGCTCAAAAGGAAAATGCTATCAAGTGTTTTTACCCAGGATGCGATGATAAACAATATAAACTCTCCATACAGTATAAAGCAGAAATGAAAATATCATCAGTTTAACACTTTTGGGACATATTACTTACTGTGGTGGCACAGTGGATGTCTTTCCATACAGTGGCTTCCCTGGAGAGATCAGAGACTTCAAAAAGGTTATCAAGAATAACTTCCCCAATCATGTCATGTCTAGAAAATCTGTCAAAATCATATACACTGAAATGCAGTTTCCTGTTGCTGAGTTGATCATAGGCTACAGGAAACTGAAAGATTTCATCAAAGACAGGATTTAAAGTCTTTCTGTGAACCCGTGTCTGAAACTTCTTTTTCCTATCTGGAAGAAGGTAAATCTTAACGTAGGGGTCTGATGTTCCTGTGAAGTCTTTAGCAGGCAGATCTAAGGCTTTGATAATTGTAACAACAAGAAGTTCATTTTCATAATCATACCGGAGAGTAAAGTTAAGCTTTCCACAGGTTTTCACATCTTCTTTCTGGCCATCTGAATCAACAGATTTCTGTTTATAGAGTTCTGGTTTTATTCGCCCAATGCTGGTCGTTGTCTCTCCCCTTTGCAAAATCGGATCGGTCCCCATGTTAAAATCAACACTGGAAACTTGCATCTGCCTTGGCAAGTGCCTCCTGAAAGAATTGTGCCTGCACACACATATACACACACGCACACACACACGCACACACACATACACACACAGAATTAACTTGGGTTATCTCCATGAAATGTCTGGATTGTACCCAACCATTTTGCAAAGTTTACATTGAAAAAGCTTAGGGGTTGGGTTTTTTTCCCATAAGCAGTAAAACAGACTTGAGATAAAAATATCATTAACTGCACACAATAAAATTTTGAAATTTAAATCTTTAACCCATTTTTTTTTTGCAATACACAAATCCACATGCCTTATTTTGAAGAAACTGCAGTAGACATTTTGGTAGTCAGCATGAAACAACTCAAATGAGGCTAATGTAATGAGGCTAAAAGGCCACTGTCAATTAATACCACTTCTATCATAGAATGTGTCATGGCATCTTTAATAATCGCAAGTGGCCAGGATGTCAGTTTTCCATCAGATCATATAGACAGTGACTTTGGCATCACCCCTGCAGTGTGATTAGAGTGTTACTTGACAGCAAAGAGTACTACCTAAAAATCTCTATCAACCCTTCCTCTCGCTCTTGGATGTTCTCTATCCCAGTATTTACCAAGCTCAAGTTTTTGAGATCTAGAAAGACCGTAAGTTGACATGCCTACAGGTTTTGAGCACAGCACTTTACTATTATAGGTCCCAGTTCTTCAGATGTTTTAAGTCTCTACTGGACTGATAGCACAGCTGATTTCTTCACTAGTGCTTTCAACAATTAATTCTAGCTGTTTTAAATTTTAAAGTGTTATTAGACATTGCTCATTTTTGTCTGTGTCAACATTCACGTAATGCTACCAAAATAACGTATTTTATTAACATAAAATAAAACAATTTGAACTTTACTATAATTAAAAATATAGAGAGTGCTCTTAACATGTAATACCTTTTGATTAAAATAACATTAATGGGAACTTTGTCAAGAAAAGTACAGCATCAGCAATGTAAGTGTTTTATTGTAGTACAATGATGAGAGTTAAAACACTGTGGGTGCATCTACACATGCAATTAACACACAGAAATAAACTTCTGTGCAGTTTGTGCTGGGGTCAGCTGCTCCTGGGCGCAACATCTGCATGTGCACCTGGGACCCAGCAGTTAGAACCAGGGCAGAGCAGCCCCAGGCTGGCACAGGCCTGGGGAGTCAGCCCTGGGCTCTGGGTAGTGGCGTCAGGGGACAGAAGGGCTGGCTGGGGCATGAGGGTACTAGAGTGCAGGGCTAGGTGGCAGGCAGTCTCCATGCTGTAGCACCCTCATGCTCCAGCCAGCTGCTGTCACCAACTACATGTGCGTTGTGGCTGCATAAATTACTCTGCCATAGGAGAGTACTGTCCTGGACAGTATTATCCTATGGCAGAGTTAATTAATTTACTGTGCCCTAATATGGAATATGGGCTGACATGTAGACAGTGATGCTTTAATGCAGAGTTAATTAGTCAAATTAGCATAACCAAATATTAAATAACTGTGCAGTAACTGGTGTTACTATGCAGTAGCATCCCCGCATGGTTTTTTTCTGACACTACTGTGCAGTAGCAATGAGCTACTACGCAGTAGCTTTGCATCATGGTTAGTGCCCCCCAACGCTACTGCGTAATAGCAACGAGCTAGTGCACAGTAGCTTATTGCTACTGCACAGTAACGTCTCATGTAGACATGGCTACAGTGATCTAAATGTCCAGGTTATATTTTTGCCATCTAAGATTTACCACTTTTATAAGCTATATTATAACAAACTCATTGCTTACTCCTGTGAGTGTTTATACTTATGTGTCTTAAAAAAATTACCTGTCCAAACTTCCTCTTATTATTTTTCCATTAGTTCCTTATTAACACCATATACAGACTTGCATTTTTGTTCAGTTACCCAATAGGGCAGTGGATTGAAATCAAGAGGTATTTCAGCTCCTTGCTATACAAAATATTTAATTGAGAAACTATAATGCCCTATTGTGTGGATACGACTTTTATTTATGCTGCAAAATTCACAGATCACCAAACTATTCAGAATTATCAAGGCCATACTGCACTGAGGAGGGATTCTGCAGGCATAATAATGGGCAAGAATGTTTTTCTCTGTAGCTACTCTAGTGCTGTTTTGTGCATGGAACAATATCCTTATAACACACCCAGAGAAAGAGCATCCATAGTTTAGATTGGATGTAGTTACAGGAAATCCAGATTTCTAATCTGAAGCTGAGATAAAGAAGGCACATCACTGGCAGCATACATCTTATTTTTTAAGACATATAAATTGAACTCTAATAAAGTTTTAAAATACTTTCAATTGGTATGTCTACATGGCAGCCACACTACATACCTAGAATTGTAATCTGGAGGCTCCCAAAGTTTAGATATAATGGCTATAATGGCCTCAAATATGCCCATCACAAGGAAGAAAATCTGACTATGTGAGGGAAACAGTGCAAGTGCTTATTAACCAAAGCAAACAAACTGGGTCCCATGGATTTTACCCCCTTCTTGTTAACAATGTGAAATAGAACTTGTAAAAAAAATCTTGTTAAAAAAATTCAGAAATGTGATATTCAGTCACCCGTTTCCTCTTAAAATTTCAAAGTTTATAGTATATAGCAGGCTCCAGCGAAATTAGTCATTCTTTCTGAGTGTTACTGAATAAAACAGTGCAGCTGCAGGGTTGCCCTCAGTGGGAACCAGTAGCATGTCTGCTCTACTAAGCCAATGCCCTAATTATATGGGACCTAGTGAGTGTTCTGAGTCATAACATTTCAACAAGAGAGCTAATTGTTCTGTTAATTAGTAAGATGCTTCATTGCTGTCATGGCAACACATTTACGTTCCTTTGTTCTGCATTAACAAACGATTTGATGACTGTTATACTAAAGTACAAAGATGTCAGCCAATCAGGCTCTGGAGATGTTGCATGCTTACTGCCACAGCTCTACCTTGGCTCTCAATAACAATAGGATAGACAACCATGCACTCTGATTCACTGTGTTTCCAATATAATAATAATAATAATAATAATAATAATAATAATAACTAGCTCTAATATAACATATTTAATCAGGGTTTAAGTAAAGGACTTAAAATAACAGACATGGTTTCTTCAGATCTGAAGAGAAGTATTTTAGCTAGGAACAGATGTTGCATTTGTTCCTGGACAAAGTGTGCCTCTTTTTGTCTCAGACCAGAAATGTCCTGGGATTGCAGTGTACGCATACTACCCTTCTAATCAGGGTTCAGTGAGCAGCTGAATGGACTGCCACTTTTTGCCATTGATTCAATGATGCAATTCTGCGGTAACTGTTGAGGCACACTTTGTGGTGTCCCAGGACAAACTGTTAGTACTTCTTATCCTGTCAACTCATTTAGGATTCATCTAGAGACAACAGACATGGAAGTGTGAGCAACTGCATTTTGTTCTGGGATAAATTGGCTTATCCTGGGACAAATGTGACATTTGTTTGTAGTCTTAGTGTCATAAAGGTTTGTAATTATTCTTATAAGAAAATAATATGAAAGTGCTTTCTGTTTACTCAGTTAAGAGCAACACCCCAAACAAATGAAAGAGGGAGATTGGTATTGTGATTAAATCTGGGACTTAAGATATAAGTGTTTGATTTCTGGATCTACAACAGACTTCCCCTATGACCTTCAGCAAATCATTTAAGGCCAGATCCAAATAAATGGACTTAGGTGCCCAAAGTAGTATTTAATCAGAATTTAGGGCCCAAAGTCCAAAACTATAATCCTGATCCCCCTTCCCCGCCCCAACTCAATTGGGGTTTAGAAAGAAACACTTTGCCTTTCACCTTAAGTTTCTGAGACGTTTATAGTTTTGCCTATATGCAGGCCCAGAAATGCCTCACATTTCATGGGGCTGAGCAACTAAGCCTGCCTGTACTTGGAGACTGGGGGAGGAGGGAAGGGGTTTTAATCCCCAGAGAGCCGTTCTAATTAAAACGCCACAGCATCACACGTATTGAGCCCCTGCATGTTTAAAAATGGCCACAGGATAGTCTAACTAAAGCTTATTCAATGAGCTTTAGCTTAAACACCACAGCGGACATTTTTAAATCCATGGGCTTAATAATACATGTGATGCTGTGACTATGCTAGGGTGTTCTAATTAGAATGAAGAGCAGACTTGATTAACCCAATCTGCTCCGACACGTTTTAATTAGAACACATCGGAGCATGCGTATAGACACTCTTAATGCCTACTTCATGCCTCAGCCTGGCCAGGATCCAGAAACTAGGCATTTTCTGCCCAAATCTCCAGCAGGCCGAGTTTCATGAGTGCTCTTAGAGCAGATGTAGCACACAGTGACAGAAGCAGTTCCACACAGAATGCAGTGGTGATGCTTTCTTGTAAAATACAGGCAGATGAGGGGAGATGGGGATGACAGTGCCTCCTTTTTATGCAATATTTTAATAATTGGAGTATTTATGCAGGACAAAAAAGACTCAGGTTCAGTTCCCTCCTTTGCCTAAGGGGATTGAAGCCCACACTTTTCATATTAAAAAAGACTACCCCAATTTAGGAGACAGGTCTTCCTGAAGTGCAAGGGTGGTGGAGGGTGGGGGACACTAAACCCCTCCTGCT